CTGGATATGGGTTCCATTTGGTCCATCATCTCTGGATATGGGTTCTATTTGGTCCATCATCTCTGGATATGGTTTCCATTTGGTACATCATCTCTGGATATTGGTTCTATTTAGTACATCATCTCTGGATATGGGTTCTATTTGTCCATCATCTCTGGATATGGGTTCTATTTGCTACATCATCTCTGGATATGGATTCTATTTGATCCATCATCTCTGGATATGGGTTCTATTTGGTCCATCATCTCTGGATATGGGTTCTATTTGGTCCATCATCTCTGGATATGGGTTCCATTTGGTCCATCATTTCTGGATATGGGTTCCATTTGGTCCATCATCTCTGGATATGGGTTCTATTTGGTCCATCATCTCTGGATATGGTTTCCATTTGGTACATCATCTCTGGATATTGGTTCTATTTGGTACATCATCTCTGGATATGGGTTCTATTTGGCACATCATCTCTGGATATGAGTTCTATTTGGCACATCATCTCTGGATATGAGTTCTATTTAGTACATCATATCTGGATATGGGTTCTATTTGGTCCATCATATCTGGATATGGGTTCTATTTGGTCCATCATATCTGGATATGGGTTCTATTTGCTACATCATCTCTGGATATGGGTTCTATTTGTTACATCATCTCTGGATATGGGTTCTATTTGCTACATCATCTCTGGATATGGGTTCTATTTGATCCATCATCTCTGGATATGGGTTCTATTTGGTACATCATCTCTGGATATGGGTTCTATTTGATCCATCATCTCTGGATATGGGTTCTATTTGGTACATCATCTCTGGATATGGGTTCTATTTGGTCCATCATCTCTGGATATGGGTTCTATTTGGTACACCATTTTAGGATATGGGTTCTATTTGATCCATCATATCTGGATATGGGTTCTATTTGGTACACCATTTTAGGATATGGGTTCTATTTGGTCCATCATCTCTGGATATGGGTTCTATTTGGTCCATCATCTCTGGATATGGGTTCTATTTGGTCCATCATCTCTGGATATGGGTTCTATTTGGTCCATCATCTCTGGATATGGATTTTATTTGATCCATCATATCTGGATATGGGTTCTATTTGATCCATCATCTCTGGATATGGGTTCTATTTGGTACATCATCTCTGGATATGTGTTCTATTTGATCCATCATATCTGGATATGGGTTCTATTTGGTCCATCATCTCTGGATATGGGTTCTATTTAGTACATCATCTCTGGATATGGGTTCTATTTGGTACATCATCTTAGGATATGGGTTCTATTTAG